GTATTTGTCAGTTGTTTTTGAATTGTGTTTGAGTGCATTGATATATTATCCGGTATTTGGTATAAATTAATGACAAACTAATTTATCGTTGTTTGAATGAAACTAATTCAACGACCACATTCTCTTGTTATCACAATACGAAAAACAAATTTTTTCAAATTTTATGTGTTTTAAAAGTGATTTTCTTTTTTTTTAATTTTTTAAAACATATAAATAATCAGAAAACAATTGTTTTTATTTTTGTTAAACTTTACCATTCAAAAATATTTTTGAAACAAAATTAAACAATTTGTAAATAATAATATGAACAATAAATTAAATTGTTCCCAAAATAGTTTCAAAAAAAAGTTTAATCCAAAATTGGTTTTTGAAAAGGTATAAAAAGGTTTTTATAAAGTACTTATTCATTCAAATGCAAATTCTCTTATTTACTGCCTATTTAATCCTTTGCTCAAAAGCAATCGAAGAATCAGAATGTTATCAGATTGACCAAGTCAACAAATGTATCAAAGACAAAGAAGGTGATAAAAAATGTAAGGATACTCTCACAATCAAAGCAACAGACATGCAACCACTGTGCGAAGGAGCTTTTATGAACAACCAACTAATTACGAATTTTGTGTACGAACCTGCACAAAAAGTTGAGATTGGTGCAAAAGCATTCAAAGGTGCAACAAAATTGGAAACAGTCACAATCAAAAACAAAATCAAGTCTCTTGGTGACGAAGCGTTCAGTGGATGTGTTGCTCTGACCAATATTGATGTTACAGGACTAACAACAATTCCAGCAAAATGTTTTGAGGGTTGCACCTCATTGACATCGGTCACTGCTAATGATGCTGTTACAACATACGAAGAAAGCTCGTTCAAGAATAGTGGTCTCACCAAAATAACATTTGCAGACACAATTATTAAAATTGGAGACAATGCCTTTTCTGGAACAAAAATGACAACAATCACATTTCCCAAAACCGATGTAACTTCTTTTGGGAAACAAGTTTTTGAAAAAATAATAACGTTAATGCATGCCGATTTGTCTGAAAATACAATGATTTCTGAAGGTACTTTTATGGGATGCACTATGTTGAATAATGTTTCCAGAACACAGAAAGTTGCAACAGTTGGAAAAGACGCGTTCAAAGATTGTGCTCAACTTGAAAACCTCAATTTGTATGCGCCACTCACAACATTATTAGACACACTACCAAATGTGAAAAACTTGTTCTTCCATGGTACTGCGGCTCCAGCAACTCTCCCAAATGATTTGAACAGCAAACTGAATGTGTATGTCACTGAATACTACACAGCCTCTGTGTTTGGAAAGTTGACTGTTCTCAAGGCGAAATGCACAAATTCTGAATGTGTTGATGTCACTTCTGATGTTGCACCAGCTGCAAAAATAGCAGGAGAATTTACACCAAAATGTAAAAAATGCCCAAACAATTTCTTGAGTGTTGATGGAAATAACTATTACTGCGAGTATGATATGGCAGTTTGTTTGTCCAAGCATCCCAAGTGCAAAGTGTGTGCTGTTGATAAATGCTACCAATGTCAGGAAAACAAATACTTGAAGGAAGACCTTTTCGAATGTTTTGACAAGTGTGATGATGGGTATTATAGTGATGATTCAACCGCAACTTCATTCAAATGCAAGAAGTGTTTAGCAGAATGCCAAAATTGCACTGATGGAATTAAATGCACTTCTTGTCCTAAAAAAGCACTGCTTCTTGAAGACACTGGGAAATGTGTTACATCCACTGAATGTCCATCTGGATACTACAAAGATACAACAGCAACAGCATCATGTAAGAAGTGCAAAACTGGAAGCAATTGTTTGACTTGTGAATCTGACTCAAAGTGTTTGTCTTGTATTGATGGTTTCTATTTAACTAAGGAAGGAACATGTTCTGCATGTAATACGATTAAAGGGTGTGGGAAATGCAAGTCAGCCACCGAGTGCACTGAATGTACAACTGACAATCTCCAACCAGACAAAACTTGCAAAAAGGATTGCCCAGAAGCGTACTTTGCAAAGGACAAGGTGTGCACTGCATGTGTTGATGATTGCAAGACGTGCACCGAAGAAACCAAGTGCACTATTTGCAAAGAAGATGCGCTGATTGTTGAAGACACCAAAAAGTGTGTGAAAGGCAACTGTCCAGAAATGTATTTCAAAGATAATGCTGGGAAGATGTGCAAGAGGTGCACTGATGGTTGCAAAGTGTGCAGCAATGCAACTGACTGCCAAGAGTGTGTTGCACCAAAGATGTTGGAGGAGGGAACTATGAAGTGTGTTGAGAAATGTGGAGATGGGTTCTTCAATGTCGACAACAAAAAGTGTGACATGTGCATGGCAAACTGCATGACGTGTGCAGCAAAGGAAAAGTGTGATAAGTGCAAAGACAACTATTTTATGTCCGATGACAAATGTGTTGACATGTGTCCAGAAAAGTACTTTGAAAAAGAAGGAAAGTGCGAGAAGTGCAAAGACACTTACGATACGCCATGTAAACAAGGCGACACTGAATGCGAGGTTTGTATGACCAAAAGTGGGACATTGAAGGTGTTAGTGGTAGCTGTGGTGTTTGTCTTGATGATGCCTTTCTAAGTTACTTTTTGGTTGGTTTTAATTTAAATCTGTTTTTAACACTTGAAATGTGTTGGTGATTAATTTTATGTTGCCAATGAATTGTATAAATATAATATGTTATTAATTAATTGTTTTAGTTTAATTTATTAATATCTAATTTATACTTATTAAACAATTATATATTATAAATTATAGTATATTGTTATTTAAAATAACTATAAATTGATATTATAAATAGTAGTAAATTAAATTAATCAACAAAACTATAAATATAAATCAAACCCATAATTATTGAAAATGGCAACAAGTATAAAGATAAAGAATGAAAAAATAGGAATTAGACCGTACGACTAGGATCATTCTTAGAGTATGTCACTTTCTATTTAACAAATAGAATTCACAAAATAGGATGAAGACTTTCATCACTTCAGTGCCAAAGGGAGATACGCAGAAATGCACGATGAACTGCTTGTTGAGGGGTCGAGTGCGTGCACAACACTCTGAGATGAGAGGCACTGAAGTCTGTCTGACTATTTTTTATGTATTTTAATTATTATATTATTATATTTAATTAATATATTATTAAAGAATTAAATCTATAAAATAAAACAACAATAACACAACACAATCAAATTAAATGACAATCAAATGAGAGCAAATTGTGAGCGTATTTCAAAATGTGTTGGATTCTTACCTTTTGGTTTCTTGTTTTTGAGATTTTGATAAGCCCACCGTTTCTGTTTCTTATCGTCTTGCTTGTTCAGTGTGATGTATGTGACTGTTTTGACTGCCTTCTTCTGTAAAGGGGTGTTGTGTTTTGTTGCAACATTTTCAAACATCTCCAAGTTGATCACCATGCTTGTTGATGACTGTTTTGACATCAGTTCATTTTTATACAACGTGACACGTCAACACAATCCATTTGTCAAGACTCAATCCAAACTTTGAGTCTTGACAATTGGAATAAATACAACAATAAACCATTTGAAACATAACATACATTTATAATATTGTCAACAAAAAATAAAAAATGAAAAGGAAGTGAATTGATTACTGCACCATTTTGAGAATCTCTTCAAGTACTTCAGAGCTGCCAGGCGCCTTTTTCACGACTTTCTGGTTTTGGAAAAAGACAAATGTGGGAAGTGATGCAATCGAGTATTCAGCAGCATAATCAGTTGCTGTAGTTGCATCTACTTTGAAGAACTTGAGGTTTGTGTGTTCGTCAGCAAGTTTATCCATCATTGGCGCACTTGCCTTGCACTTTGCACACTCAGGAGAGTAGAAGATGACAAGAACGTTCTTGTTGTTTTCAATTGTTTGTTTCACTTCTGCAACATTGGTTGTGTATGTCACTGGCATGTCTTGATGTTAAGTTGTGTGGTTTGGTTATTTAAATACACACCAATTGTTTCAATACACAGTTACCAATGACCAGATGTTGTAATAACTCTATCGCAATTTATAACTTTTCGCTTTAAAATTGTTTCATTCTATTTTTATTTGGTATTATTTTATATTTAATATGAATCAATTTGATATATTGATTCATATTTTATTTATATATTCATATATATAAAGATTCAGAATTTTTTGTGAAATTATTATGTGTGGTCGTTTTCAATAATATATAATTTGAAATATTTATATTTTAATAGTTAAATTTGAAAAAGTTTCAATAATTTAAAAGGTTAAGAATGATATTATTGAGTGTCCAATAATTATATCAACTTTATTTTAAGTTTTTGTAAACTTTTGGTCGAAATTCTTTTTCAAAATGTAAAGTCATTTTGAAAATTGGAATAAAAACTATTCCGATTTATTTTGCAATATCAAAATAAAAATAAATATTTTAAGAATTAAAGTTATATAATTATGGTATACATTTGATTCGTACTCAATTAATATTACAAGAAATAAAATTTTATAACACATAATCCTTTTTGATTTAAAAAATGAATAAAATCATACAAATTTGAGAAATTTTTTCCAGTTTTATAACACAATATGAATTAATAGA